ATCTTCTAGGAACTGTGGGGGATTGGAAAAACCATTTCACTGTGGCCCAGAATGAAAAGTTTGATGAAATATATAGGGAGAAGATGAAAGGAGTCACTATAAACTTCTGCATGGAACTCTGAGGAGGTAGTAAATAAAAAGTTGGAAGACAAGAACACAAACGCTGTCTTCAATCCTCAGCCACAGCCAGATGAATCTCTGAAAGCACATTGGAAATGTTTATGATTGTGGTACAAACCATCTCTGTAATTATGAACAATATGTCACAGCTTTGCAAAAAGGATCATGTCTAATGCCTATTTTCTCCTCTATTTTTTCCAAACTAAGAATAAGACATCTTAATAAATTAGGTAAGAATATAACACTTAAATACTACAAGGATTTTTATAATCCCCATTCTTTTGGGAAGTGTATCCATTTTCTAGGGTGCAATATAACAATATCTTAAGAACAAATGCACAGATATTAGATAAAATATATACTAACATCATGAAATTCTGATGTCTGATCTGACCACTTGGGGAACACTGGTCTGGGCTCAATCCGGAGGTTCTTCCTGGTCACAATGGGAAGAGAAATAATRGGAAGGGATACAACCCTGGTGCTGCCAGCCCTGAGAAAATATATTCTGAGCACCCTGATTGTAAGCAGAGAATGAAAGGAAAGGCCAGAGAGTGAATGTCAGAAGTCTAAAACATGATGAAGAGGGACAAGGTGCTAGGCCATATAGGAAAGAGCAGGAGGGTGGTGTTCGGGAGCCCAAGTTAGATCCTGGTAAAGGCAGAAAGTAGGGGAAGTGACTAATGTCAGCAGTGTCAGCCCGGATGTGGTGCTCAACATGGAGACAACTGAGCCTCAGCTTCATTGCCATACACTCTGGGGAATACTTCCTAACCAAGTTAGGTATCCTTTGCACTCAATTCCCATATTTTCTCCTATTGCTTATCTGTACATCCCACTACATTGTAAATCCCTTGGGGTTTGGTTCCATATCTTAGTCACCATTTTACTCCCAGTGCCTAATGCATACAGAACAGGCCAATACAAACATGTTGCATGAGTGAATGAAAGCATAGAATACAGGAAGGAAGGCACATTTCAAATTACTAATTCCAAACGTTGACCCTTTTMTTTTAGACCCAAATCAGAGGGTGCACTAAGCCAAATAAAATACTGATTTCTTTTCATCACTGCACAAGTTTGGACCTGAACTTTCCCACAAAGTCCCATGTGTTAAAGACTTGGATTCCAGTGTGTCCCTAYTGTGTGGTGATGAACCCCCAGAGGAAAAGCTTAGTGGGACTTCTCCATGGAAATATGCCCTCAAGGAGAATAGTGGGAACCCAGGCTCTTCTTCCTGTCTTACTTCTTAGCCATGAGATGAGCAATTTATCTCTGYCATGCATTCGCACCATGCTGCCTCCATACCAGAAGCCTAAAAGTAATATGTTTAACCAATCAYGGACTAAAACTTCAAAAGTTTGAATCAAAGTAAGTGATTGTATCAGGTAATTGATTCAGTAATGGAAAGCTGACTAACACAATCACCATGCACTGACAATTCTAAATGATATCAATGGTAAAATATCCCTCTCTGGAAAAAAAAAAGAATCTTCCATTGGCCCAACTTTTAAACAATTGTTTATGTTGATTTCATACAGTTAAAAACACTTAGCTTTAAAAATATGTAAGTCTCAAAATAACATGTTTGTTACATTAAAAAATCATCTGTATCTTCACTGGATTATATTTTTTTGTTATTTGGTTCTATGTCTAATTCACCTCTGTATGCAAACTGATTCAGAGATTCACCTGGTAAAACCTTCCATAATAAACAGATGCTATAAGAATTCATAACAAGAAAGAAAGCCTACACTACAAAGCATACACAATGAAATATTTCATGAAGCAAAAATTAAAAATAAAAATAAAAACCAGCATAGAGATGCATTACACTAGAAGTAAAATCAAATGACAACCAAGTCTGAATCACACATCAGAAATAAATCAAAATGGCAGGAAATAGAAACCATCTCCCTGTAAGGATAAAAGAAAATGAAGGAAATAGAGAAGAGAGGCAGTTCAACACTGATACACATTTATTCAGTAAAAACCTACAGATGGGGCCCAGTGGAGACTGAGACCTATCTTCCACTGCAGCCTGGGGCAGAYATAAGGGCAGGAGGGAGTGTGGGAGTTTTTATGGTTGGGCCATTGCTAGGAGGGTTGTCAGGGAAGGGTCCTTTGGGTCATCACCTGTATTCTTTGAGGTGATCACCATTTCATGTTGAACCAGGTGTTTTCAGAATTCCAATCTCAGAAATTTCCTTTTTCTGTATGATGATAAATTATTGTTTGAGATTTCTTTGTCCAATGATAGAATATTTCTGGGGTTTAATGTCAGGCTAAGTCAGAATAACAGTGAGGTGACTCTTATTCTATGATGGGGGATATATTTCAAAATGGTGTTGCCTGTGTCAAGTTCTATATAACATTCCTGCCTTTTAAAAAATTTTTTTGAAAAAGAAGTGAAGGGAGGGGTGAAGGGAGAATGGGCAGTGATGTCTCTTACAGTACTTCCTGCTGAGAGAGGGCATTAATTGAGGACTCCTGTAGGCATTGATAGTGAGCAATTCTCTTGTTACTCAGCAGAAGGATGTTCCGGATCACGTGATTAGTAGTGGCATTGATGGTTCTGTGTGAAAAGGAGATGAAGAGCTGAAACAGGGAGGGCCCAATAGCAAGGTCAATCATTATACAGAGAATTGGGAAGACAAAAGGGGTATCCAAGAGAACATAGCCAGGGGAGAAAGCCACCTCATATTTCATGAGGAGGAGTACTGATCAACTTGGTGCCTGTTCTCTTAATTTTAATGCCATTCCTCACCAGACTTGTTAGTGTCAAAGCAGCATGTTTCTTGTAGGAGGGAACAGATACCTCCTTTGTCTGTGGTTAATAAATCTAGATATCTTCTGTTTTGGAGGACAGTTGGTGCCAACAAATCTCTTTGGTCTTGAAGTATAAATAGTTGGGTTGAGATTTCTCTGAGGCTAGCTACCATTTCTTTAGATAGTACTGCAAAATTGATGGGTGGAAACTCCTACTCCTGCCACTCCTGTGCCCACTGCTGTAGTTATGCCCACGCATATCAGGAGAGGAGCAAAAGGGAGAGCTCATTTCAGTCTGGGTAGGGTGTGTACTGGGATTGGGATGGGTCCCTTCTCAGTGAAATATAGGAGGACTGGTGTGAGAAAGGCTGGGGTGCGAGTTTCTGTACAGTCAGTGGGTAAACAGATGTGTTTTTTTCACATAGGAAGAAGGTTCCTTGATGATAGTCAAGGCAACAGAAAGGTAATAGGAGACTACTTGTTTTAGTTGGAGGCTATTGAGGTTCCATGTCCACCCCTGGTAAAAGGCAAAGATGGTGGCCATGTGTGTAGCCCCAAGAGGCTGGAGATCAATATTGGTGTCCAAAAGATGGGACTTTTCAATTAAAATTTGGTGTTTGGAAGTTTGAGAATACTTGTCCAGGTAGAGGAAGGAGCATTCAGTGTTCTCCATGGTAGGGCTTAGGTTCTATGTTTATTAGAGGCACACTGGTTAGTGGACCTCTACCTTGGCAGAATAAGTACTGGTTTTTGGTTATAGGTAAACTCCAAAGAGCACAGGGAATGAAAGCTCTTATAAGKTTGCTTGTGGGCCCCTTTTAGGTACTGTGTTCACAGTGGGATTGGGGAAAGGAAAGGTATGATTACACAAAGAAAGAGAAAGGAAGGCTGCTGGGATTTCCTCTTCTGTGCATGGGATACAGAGAAGAGTCTGAGAAATAGAGGGTTCAGTAAGGGTACCATCTGACCTGTCATGGGGATAGTAATGTGTGAGGCAAAGTATTTGGCAGTTCTATATCAAAAAGGAATGTGTCGTATGGCTGATTCTCTGAATTCTGTTCTGTCTTCTCGGTGCATGTGGTCAGAGGAGCTGGCTGGGCTACCGAGTTGGGGATCATGGGGGTAAACAAATCCAGCAGGGGAAACTGGATGTGTTTGTGGAATTTACCAGCAGGTGAACAGAGATTTTAATAAGTTCAGGCATGTAATGAGGTATTAAGGCTAGACAAAAAGGAGGCAGAAAGAGAAGAAGGAAAGCTGAAGATGTGAGAAGTCCCAATAAGCTCCTTTAAGCCATGGTTGATGCATAGATTTGAAAATTTAAGCTGGAGTATTCAGGGGCTCTGGGAATAGATACCAAGCAATGTCCTGGGTAGTGAGGATAATAAATTGGCAAAAGTTGGGACAGAAAAAGATGAGTAATAAAGAGACATAAGTTTATAAGGCATAATCTTGGTCCTATGGTCTCTGAGTATCTGGGGGAAGTGTATAGGAGTGGGGCTTGTGAAAAAAGCAAGAGTATTTTATACCACCAGGAGGGCTGTGGGGGATGTGCGTTGTTCACGGGGGATGAGTGAGCTGCTACCTTTTTAAGCTTGGAATTGGGTATCCAGTGTGGGAATGATTTCAGTTTGGCTGCTGCAGGTGGTGTCGGGACTACCTGATATRAACCTGCCCATTTTGGGTTAAGGGGAGTAAGAGAGTCTGTTCTCCACATCAGGTCTCCTGGCTGTAGTTTTAATGGAGTCTCAGAATAGTCAATAGGTTTAGGAAGGAATTGTTCTGCATGCTATCTGCTTAGGTGTTGCCTCAGGTGTAAGACTGGCCAAGTATCAGGAATAGGAGGGGCCAAAGAAAGAGGAAAACCCTGGAGCACAAAGGGACAGCCATAGAGGAGCTTGAAAGGGTTTTCAGGAAGGACTCATAAATGAAGAAGAGCCAAGAGGAGAAGCTTAGTCCAGGTAAGTTCAGTTTTAAGCATCAGTTTGCTCAGGTGCAGATTTAGGAGGACATTTGTGTGTTCTACCTTTCCTGGGGATTGGGAGCAGTATGGGATATAGAGATAGTTATTTACAATCCAAAATGTAAGTACTCAAGGCGAATTAGGTTTCCCATAGAAAGGCTGACAGAAGAGGAGAGGAACTGACCCCTTCCCCAGAATTGGTTTCTTACCATAACATTTTATAATTTCATTTTATAACTAGGTTTAGTTTGCCACCATAAGTAGGTAAAA